ATGACATCGCTTTGACTTTGTCACCTCTGTGGAGACTCTTCCCAATATATAGTCATCTTCTGAGGTTTGGAGCCTAACATCAGTTTGTGAATTGCTCAGGGAGGCCAGCAAAGCAGCTTATTCTGAAACCATGAGAAAATGTGGCACATCTCTGATTTCATGCTCCTCAAGTCTCACAGTGATACTAGTGTGAAGGGGTGGAGTTGGGTTTTAATGCCCGCATCTGTGCAGAGTGTGATGGATCAGTGAGGAGAAGAGGGGCAGAAGCTGAGACATGAGTCCAGCTCTGTCCTTCAGAGAAAACTGGTGTCTCTATTTTTCATAATGTTGAAAGGCATTGTCATCTCTGGTCCCAGCAAGCCACAACACTTCCCTTCTGTCTCATTGCCTACCTCAGGGTTAATCATGCTTGCATGCTGGGAAGTGAAATTAAGAGTGTTGCCTAGGGATGTATGTGCCTCCCTGCCCACACCAAGGTGGGGAATTGTGTCACCTCAGAGGCCCTGACATTTCAGGAAATTGTCCTTGCATTTGCATCTCTCCTGTTTTATGAAGTGGACAGCAGTTTGGAAATAAATATGCTTTCTGATAGTAACTTTGTTGCCAAGAATGTGTACCAGAGAAAGCAAAGAATAACCAGTGCTGCTGGGAGGCAGGCTGAGGAGTTTTGAAAATCATGCCTACCCATCCCAGTGGACCTTAATCATATGCCAGCTTGCTTTTAACTGTATAAACTCACAGAGGGAAAAAGCTAAGTGACTTAATCATTTGTTATTATATTCTAAATTTTATTTTTCTGTGTATGTATGCCACCATACATCTGTAGAGATCAGAAAACTACTTGTGGGAGTCAGTTATCGTCTTCCACTATATGGATTCTGGGGATGGAACTTAAGTCCTCAGGCTTGGCAGCAGGCACCTTTACCCACTGAGCCATCTCATTGGCCCAAGTGTCTTAATCTGAACATCACTTTGTCTCTATGTCAATGTGCCTTAGAGCCAGCCCAGTCTCTCAGTCCTCTACATGCGTGGTCTCCCTTGGTTGGTCCTGCTGCAGTCTTCTGAGGCCTGAGCTGTCCTCACCTTTAGAGGGGACTGAGAACTTGCTAAGCTTCCTGAGTTTTTTAAGTATGGCTACATTCTTGACTCTTAAGAACCTCTCTCCTTCTTCCAGAAGGGAATGTTTCAGTTGGGATGAAGTAGCTATACAACCACCCTCATGTAGAGGGGGGCATCTTTCTTCACAGGACCTTACCATAGTTTAGATTTTTCTCTCTGTCTCTGTCTTTCTCTCCCCCCCCCCCCCCCCCCGCATATGTCTGTTTGTGTGTGTAAAGCTGGGTGTTCCATCTGGGATGGTTTGATTGATGTATATGCTAGAAACATCTTTAATAATTTAATGTCTGCTTCAAAGGTATTCACACCAAAAAAAAAGCACATTGCTTTTTCACTTATTCATTACAGATCTGTCAGAGCAGAGTTTTGGGGTGTGTGTGTGTGTGTGTGTGTGTGTGTGTGTGTGTGTGTGTGTGTGTCTGTTTTCCCTGAATCACAGTGTCATGGTAATTGTAAATTTTATTCCAGACTATGGGTATTTTAAAGGAATATAAGCCTTTTAACTAATGTTACCATATTATTTAAATTGATCAAATTGCTATTTCAGTGTCATAATCTTACATCTTTTTAAGTTGTGCTAGGCAGCTGTGGCTTTATTTGATGACTACTAAGTAGCCATGCTGGGGAAGTCTAATGGAGATAATGGGATAAGAGCATAATGCTGATGGCTAGTGATGGTAATAACGGCAGGGAACCAGAGTGAAATTTGGAACTACATGCTAAGAGATCAGGGAACACACCAGCCCTCGGTAAAGAGAAAAAATGAACAGTTTGGGAATTAGTCAAAGAAAGAGGTTAAGACTAAGGGGAGGAAAAATAAGAATATAAAATCTAAAATCAAGAAATCATGTTCTCATTTTACAATTATTCTTAGTTGTAAATCTAGATGTCAGAAAATAGATTTTTCTCCTACTTACATGTAATCTGTTACGATAAATCTTTCTGCCAAAGCTGCCTGAGCCCTACCACCTTGTGGGTGGTCTCCCCCGGCTGCCCGAGTTCTGCCCGCCGTGTGGATGGACAAAATAATACAGAGACATATTAGGTGCAAAGCTGCTTGGCCAATGACTAGGATTCTCATCTGCTAGCTCAGTCTTAATTATCATAAATCTATATATTTTATAAGACTTATTGGACTCCTTATTGGCGTCCCTCCTTGCTGGTGGATCACATTGTGCTACTGGAGGAAGAACAGAAAAAGGGGACATTTCCTGTTTCCTCGCTTAGATATGATATGAGTCTCCTTGCTATGTCACTTCCTGCCTGGATCACCACTTATCTACTACATTTCCCAGAATCCTCTTTGACTCCTACCTAGTCCTGTCTAACTTGCTGTTTCATTGGCCAAACAGAACTTTATTAAACAATCAATAAGATAAACATACACAGAAGTACTTCCCCCATCATCTCCTCTTTTCTGTCTAAATACTCATAAATTTTAATCCTTGGCTCATATAATTGAAGGATTTATGGGTATAGCCTTGTTGGGGGAGTTGTGTCACAGGGGGCAGAGTTTGATAGCAAAATTCTGTGCTATTCTTAATTAGCTCTCATGATCTTGTACTTGTGGATCAAGATGTAAGCTATGCAGTGTGGCTGGCACACTTGTCCATTTCAACAGGAACCCTTCAGTACAGTCTTGTTTTGTAAGTTCAGCAGTCACTTTCTTGTGGGTCCTGTATGGCCAGCTTATGCTGTAACAAACAGTCCAGGCAAGAGCAGTTTCTTGCCCAAATGGCTAATCTTGCCATGTTGAAAGCAAACTCCATAACAAGTTTCTTTGATGCCCATCCTCCTTTCTGATGTAATTGGTGTGCCAGGAGCAGTTGTGTCTCACTGCCAAGAAAAACCCTGAACCATTTAAATGCCATATTTCTGTAGGTCTTTGAAAGGTTTGAAGAATACCTAACCATCCCAAATACATCTCTGTAAATCTAGAAAACCTAACTAACCTAATTATAAATTTTGACTATTATAGGTAAAAGATCTGTATAAACACAATACCTAAACAAGAGGAGACATATACATATCACAAAATTGACCTTAAAGTTGTATCAATAAATGAAAATCTATACCAACACAAAGTATTTATTCCTATATCTTATTCCCCTCTTTTTTTCTTTAAAAAGAGATTGACTATGCTCATTACTATTTATAACCAACCCCATTTAAATGAAAACAAATATCTATAAACAGTATTTGGGAATTTGGGCGTCATTCCTTCTGAACAGCTTCCTGCTGATTGGGGGCGATATTCATACCATTGGAATCATGATAAAACACAGAAATCTGACACAAGTCCTTGTTTTCATAGTCTGAAAGGCTGTATCATCTCAGCTTCATGGGGTCTTGCTTGATTAAACCATATTAGTCTGGAAGGAATCCACAGCTTTTCATTTTCTGTGTAAACACAAGAATAAAACTTTTTTTCCAAGTAGCCTGTCCTTAGACTTAAATTTTGAAGTCAAAGCATTTTTAAAATGTATAAGTTGGATTAATTTAGCAGCATTATAATCAAATGTATTTTAGCAGCAGTAAATCTTTCCTCAGCAATCAATTTAAAGACAACAATATGGCATATAGTATCCAGATTCTCTGTGTATTTTTCATCTTTAGGTGGCTTTTCTACTATTTTACTTTCTTTTGTTTCTTTTTTCCCGAGACAGGGTTTCTCTGTGGAAATCTGCCTGCCTCTACTTCCTTCAGCAAATCCTACCAGCGTGCGCCACCACAACTGGCTACTCTATTTCCTCCTGTTATTTTTTTCTCTCACAAGTCTACATATATTTCTAAACGAGTGTAAACATTTAGAGGTTTTTCTTTATTTGGATCTGTCCTTATTATCTTGGGAGTGCCGAGTCTAAACCCCAGAAGTGCCGGGACGGTGCGATCATCTTAATAGACTTTAACAATCACTCAGAGGATTGAGGACTGTATTTACATCCCTAAATAATTAAATAATGAGCTTTTTCTTTATTTTTGTGAATATATTATCTAGATACTCTCCTCCACATGTAAGGAGAATTGTACCAAGGCCCCAAGGCCAGGAGGTTGCCCTTGGGGAAGAAGTGGTAGAGGGCTGTCTTGACCTGGGGGGTGGTTGTTGATGCAGTGAGGTGCTGTCTGCACAGGGTACAGACAGGCTTAAAAATAGTAAGATGTTCTGGCCAAAGCAATTTCACAAACAGTGCATGTGGGTAGTTTCTAAGTCACTGGTGTGCAATTACGCCATTGCCTGAGAACATTCGAAAGATCCCGCTCTTCTCAGTTGTGAGCACTGTGGGTTTCTCTGTCCAATACTTCTTATAAACCTCTGACCAGCAGTCCTTACAAAGTTCAGCCCCTAGATCATACCAAGGGACTCTGGTAAAGGCACAGAAATGTTTGGTTTGCAGGTTGCTAATTCTTTAAACAGTGCAATCAGTGAGGCATGGTGCAGATGTCACCTTTCATGGCCACTAGAAGGACACATGAGTGTCTCCCCAGTGGCATCAAAGTGAGGGATACAGCCTTATTTTGTGATGTTTGCTTGAGGTGGGACACCAGTACTTTAGGCCAGACTTCCTGGGCTCAGCACTCACCCAGCTTGGTCTCCTGCTACATGGTATTGTGGGCACTGAGTGGGTTAGCATTTTTCTCACTCGGATGATGGGGGCAAGAAATATACTATGTGGGACTCTGTGCAGGCTTTTGCACTAGTGTGTGTTCTCTGCCTCTGTGGATCCTGGTCGGAGGCATTGCTGTCTTGAGCTCAAGTGTTCTAAACTTCTTGAGACTCTTTGAGGAGGTTTTACTTGGCTGTGAGATTCTGAGCATAGTTCTGTAGTGTGTGATGGAGGAGCCCTATCACACTTCTTTTACCCATTGTTTCTTTTGCTCCATAGAGGCCAGCAGAAATAGTTGATGAGGAAGAAGATGGGGAGAAAACAAACAAAGACATCAAACAGAAGGAAGACTTTTCAGCAATGAATGGTGAAACTGAAGATGGAGGGAGTAGTGAAGCTACTGATGCCCCTAAGCAAGAGGAGGGAATCCCAGACCATGCAGAGAAGAAGGCAAGTCCTTCCCGGGTAAATGGTACCACTGATGAAGAGAATGGTGAAGAATTGGACCAGGTTACTGAGGAGCTTCAACCGACAGTGGATGAGGAAGGAAAGGCTGAAGGAGACAACAGTGGACAAGATAAGGTACTTCTATTATTTTGGCTTGCTTATGCATGAATATGCATGTACACATGCTTGCCTACACGTGAACATGCTTAGGAAATTAGCCAAACACGTAGATTCTGCAGCAAAACTCCTTATGGTAGAGTAAGAAACACTGAGCACCGTTTAATTTCAATTTTTGCTTATTTCAATCAATTAGCAAGTACTGCCATGAATATTTGTTTCTTATCCTGTCATCTATCTACCCATCCATGTCCTCTATCTACCCCTCCATGTACCCAGATGGATAGATGTACCCATTCATCTATCCATCTGCCTATCCACTCCCTCACCACCTACCAGCCTGCAATCTGTACAAACTAGAGAATGGTATCAAGTTCAGTGAGACCTGAAACTAATTTAAAGAACATCATGGCTGCTGGGCGGTGGTGATGGTGGCACACCTTTAGTCCCAGCACTCGGGTGGCCAACACAGGTGGATCTTTGTGAGTTCAAGGCCAGTCTGGTCTACAGAGAGAGTTCCATGACAGGCTCTAAAGCTACAGAGAAACCCTGTCTAGAAAAACAAATAAACAAACAAAAAACCAAACCAAACCAACAAACAAACAAAAAAACCCAACAACATCTTGGCTATTAACCAGGACTTCTTTGTTCTTTAGAGAAATTAAAGTCTAGTTGTTTAACCCACATTAAATAGATTAATGAAGCATCCAGCTTACCAGGTGCTGGTTTGTTTCACTGAAGCAAAGCACAAGAGAGAGAAAGGTTAGCAGCAGAGTAGTGTAAAGTGTTCTCACTGCCAAGCTTTAACAGTCAGTCCAAAATACCTGTATTCCACTATACCCTTTGATAACACATATTTAATATCTAAAGGAAAACACTTGGCACACCTCACGTTTCATCTTTACTCAAGATGAGATTTTCACAGTGTGGCAGTGTAAAACATACAGAATGCAATTCCTCATAAGGAGCTCAACATAGTCCTCCTGGCTGTATATAGAGAAACAATAGTGGGTTTCACAAAGTTCTCTGCTGTTGTAGCCTTTGATGAAAGCTTACAACATGAAATCAAAGTGCAATTCTACATGGGTCTCGGTCGGAAGATCCTGGTATGCAATCTTCCATTCAGTGTGTGACCTAGTTAGACTTCACAAAATGCATGTTTTGTAAAAATCTTCCTGTAATTTGCAACAACGCTGAATAAGGTCAGAGGGCATTATATTAAGTGAAACAAACCTGACACAAATACAGTATGAGCTCCTTTGTATAAAAAAGCTCATTTTATAGAAGCAAAGAGTAGAATGAAGGTTACCGGGGTCTAAGGGTTGGGTCTGGGGAGATGTTGGTCAAAGAACAGAACATTCCCATTCTGAGGAATAGGTTCTGGATCTGTGTTGTCCAGCATGGTGAATATTCCTAACAATGGATGCTTATACTAGAGGAGTGTTCCTATTCCTACAGCTATAGACGGAAACTGTGAGATAATGCAGATGTTAATGTGTTCAAGTTAGCCCACCCACAATGCACATTTATTTTAGGACATTATATTTTATGTCATAAACAAATATTTTTCAATTAAAATAGACCAATTTAAAAACTAAAGTAATAAAAAATAAGTTTTTGATAGGAATCAGGCATCATGTAAGATCAGAGTTGTATAATTTGGAAAGGGCTGAAGCATAGGTGTCTGTGGTGTGTAATGTGATGAGCCCAATTCTTGGGTGCTCGGATAAGTGGCTCATTGTCCCAGATGGAGCAGTTACTCTCAGGAGATGGAATCTTACTTTTTTGTCCCCTTTCTTGTAATGATTATATATGTTGTCTTCATTTGCCCTCATGCATTAATATACGTATACTTCAAGTATACCAAGTATATAAACTTCCAAACGTACATGTACTGCAAATTATACATTAACAATAACTTTCATGAAAAGATTCTTTAATCACAAAGGACTAAAAATTCAGTTTACATGTAACATTTTGTCATATGTAATAGTTCTTTTACAATGTGATAAATAAAAATATCAAGAAACAGATGACATACACGATAGCAACTGACACTATAGGAAACAGCAGGAAATAGAGGGCAAATACACAATAGTAACTGTTTCTATTGAGATTATTAGTTTATGCTATATTTATGATACCATTTGAGGTACTTCATGAGGAAGTAATGTGAAATAAAATACAGACCTGGAAACATACATACACACAATACATATATAGGCACATACATAAATATATATACATGCATATATATATACACAAAAGCATATACAGGCATAAATACATTCCTATATACATGTACACATATTTGCTTGCATATATACTTTTATAGATACATATAAGCACTTTTGCATGTACACACATATATGTATACATGCACACACATATATATTTACATTTACACATATCCATATACACACATGCACTCATACATATGAACATACATATACATTCATACATACAAGCATGCACACATACATATACACATACATGCATATATATGTATACACACATATAAGCACATGCATTTTTTAGTAAAAATCTTGCCTGTGGGGTTTAGTGATCTGGAGCTGTTCTTGTCCCTAAGACTGGGGCCCCTTGTGAGGCTGTGAAGCCTCCAGAATTTCATGGGCTATAGTTTGAAAACTAGCCAGTTCTCATCTCACACCTTAGCAGCAGGCTAATGGGTGGATGAATCATAAATGAGATGAATGTCACTGATAATAGGAGCTGTGAAAGGAACAAAGGTTGTTCTGGAGAAAAGCTGCTTGTATGCTTTGGTTTTATGTCCTGCTCTTACCTACCAGACATGGATACCCTCTGGCACTTGGCATCATGCTATCCATCTGCAGAAATGTGGTGGAAGAGGATCATAGGGAGCACTCCTAGCTAGTGAGACATGAAGGAGAAGCTGAGATATTGTTTCTTCACTCACTTTGGAAATACTTAGCTGAAAAGTGTGCACATTTGAGCAAAAAAGTGAAAGAGACACAGAGAAAGAGTGAGAAAAATAACCCTGCCACATAAGAGATGATACCTGCTTTCATTTCATCTAGTTATTTCTTTGTTTTTCCAGACAGGATGGCCTCAAAACTATTATGCAGTTGAGGGTGGCCTTGAACTCCCGATCTTCTGCTCCTTCCTCTTAATTGCTGGGATTATGAATATGTGCTGCCACACCTGATTTTAAAGCACATATTGGAGTATGGTCACATGAGTTGTCAGTCCAAATAAAGGGCTGAAGTAGCAAGCTGGGGGAAATGACTGACTGCAACCAAGGGAGCGCGAGGCATAGTTTGTAGTTGAATACTTATCTGGTTAAATGGGACATTTGTGTGAACTTTATTATCCTCATGAAGCAAAGAGCTAATTATCCATGTTTTGGCCTATTTTACTTCCAGGCAGACTCAGATGCTCAAAGACCACCAAGACCAGAAGTGACAATAACCAGCCCTCAAGAAAATGAAGAGAATGAACAAAACAAGGACTCTTCTGCTGTGGCATAGGTGGTTTTAAAGCAGGGCATACATGGGACGTAAGAGCATGAAGGGATGCAATACTTGAATAATGAACATGACATCTCTGTAAGACAGACTCGGCAATATGGTGGGGCACTACCTGCTGAATTTTAGAAATAGAAGCTAAGAGGAAGGAAGGTTAGGAAATTTGTAGCTCAAAGCAGAATGACTTATGTTTATGACAGATGTAAAAAAAAAAGTTCCTTTAAAAGAATCAAATAAGTGAGACAGAGAGGATTTGTACCTTAAGACAGCTGACACCCATGTTTGTAAAGGAGGAGGATGTGGGCTTGCTCCCATTAGAAACTTTATTATAGACTTGGAAGCAAGACTATTGGCAGCTTGTTCTAAAGCATTTATCTAGGGAAGTATAGATTTTTAAAGAGTTGGTAATAGGAAAACATGTATTATGTTCTTAAAGCAATAAACTGTTGATTGAACAAATTGCAATTTAGTTTCAGAGATAATTTGAAGATGGCAATGGCTCCAAATGCCCTGAAGCTGTTGACGTTCCTTTTTTTTCCTCCAGTCAAGGTCTATCTCTGGCAAAGTTAAATCAGTCTTCTGAGGGGAGGAAATGCTTCTCAAGGGTATTGGTGATTCCCACCAAGTGTGCCTGCTCTGGCACACTCTCAAGCAGGAACCAGAGAGATCTGGAAATCCTGAGATATTTACTGGCATAGTCTGTTTGTACCAGAACAAACCCTTTGCCCTCTTATATGCTGTTGGAAACTCAATATTGGTAAAGATTGAATTCTTTCCAAAATTTTAAAAAACAATATTTTACTAAATACTAAGGAATAGAATAGGAAGTAATAAGTCCCTCCGTCCTTCCATCTGTCTGTCCATATATCCATCCATCCATCAATCTCCTAACCTTTTAGACGTTCAAGCAGATTCTTTTCTATAAATTTAGATTCCATCTGATGGAAATTGGTGAAAAAACTTAATTTTTCCATAGCTCCTGATTTTATTTTGTGAATAGATTAAATTAATGTGCTTTCTCCTTATGAGATATAGATGAGGGTAAAGATAGTTGCATTAGTTTGATGATCATAGTAGAAAGATGTGACTTTTCCCTAAATATAGAAATACTATGTTTTTCTCATTTTAAAGAATATGGTTTTACTCATATAGAGAATTTAAACTGGGAAATTTTAACTTCTAGTGCTTTTGTAAGATCCATTGCTATTGTAAGTCTAAAAGATTGTTTTCTCCTCTAGATTTCACAACCAACCATCTGGGATCAAAATAGTTGTGAGTTATATATACTAAAGTAATATAGAAAATAGATGCATTGCCTTCAAATGCTATTTTGATTTTTCCATACATAGAAAATATGAACAGAGCTTATGATGTCACAGTATTTGAGAGAGATCGTGACACAGGGCCTGGGAATATGGGAGGATGGATTTTAACTGGGACACAATCTGGATTGTGCTTTCTCTGTACCGTCTTACTTTCCCAAATGTGACAGTATAGCACACATGGACTGTCAGCAGCCATCTTGCACTGGTAGGGAAAAAGAAAAGCTGGCCTTCTGATGTGAAATTCTGGAGTCTGGTGGAATTGAAACATTGGGAGTTTTGTACATGACCAGAAGTGACTTTGATTGGCGTCACCTTCAGGGAGGGGTGTGTTACATGCTTGGCATCTGTGGAAGCCTTTATTGCATGACCATCACCTTCCTGCTACTATCACTACCGGGCAGCCCACGATTCTCTGTGTTCTCCTAGGGTCTCAAGGAGACTTGTTTTTTAGGACATTTTTCTTGCATTTTATTTTTTAGTGTCAGAATGCCAGACTCATCCATAGGAATAGCATGATATGTTCCTGTCTCCAGTTTTATTCTGAAAGGGTTAATTCTTGCTGTGATGTCTAAAGACACACCATGTCATATGTGTGGCTTAGAATCAATCACATATCTCTGTGGGTGCACAGCTGTGAGGTGACACTGACATGTTTTATGCTGTCTATCCTAGGGCAGGGCTCAAAACCCAGAAGCCTGAAGATTTTGTCTTTTGTTTTGTTTTTTTGTTTTTTTTTAAACAATCTTATTTTACATAGCAATCCCCTGTTCTGTCTCCCTTCCATCATCCCATGCCCCCCACCGGCCCCCCCAACCCCCACCCATTCCCCAAGGATAGAGAGGCCTTCCATGGAGGATCATCAAAGTCTGTTACATCATTTGGGGGAGGCCCTTCTCCATGTATCTGGGCTGAGAGGGTATCCCTCCATAGGGAATGGGCTCCCAAAGTTCATTTGTGCACTAGGGATAAATACTGGTTCCACTGTTAGAGGTCCCATAGACTTCCCAGGCCTCCTAACTGGCACCCATATTCAGAGGGCTTGGTTTGGTCCAGTGTTGGTTCCGCAGCTTTATGACTAGGGTTCCTGTGCTCTCACTAGGTCAGATCAGCTGTTTCTATAGGTTTCTCTAGCACAGTCTTGACTCCTTTGCTTATCACTCCTCCCTCTCCACAACTGGATTCCAGGGGTATGGCTCAGTGCTTAGCCGTAGGTACCTGTTTCTGCTTCGATCAGCTACCGGATGAAGGGAATCATCAATCTCACTACAGGGGAAGGGCATCAAAGGCAGCCTCTCTACTACTGCCTAGATTCTTAGTTGGGGTCATCTTTGTGGATCTCTGAACATTCCCTAGTGCCAGATTTCTCTTTAAACCTCTACTGGCTCCATCTATTAGGGTATCTCTTTTCTTGCTCTCCTCTATTCCTCTTCTGACTTAGTTTTCCTGGTCCCTCATGTCCTCCTCTCCCTCCTCTTCTCCCCTTCTCTTTTTCCTACCCCCATGCTCCCAATTTGCTCAGGAGTTCTTTTTCCTTTCCCCTTCTTCTAGGGACCATGTATGTCTCTCTTAGGGTCCTCCTTGTTTCCTAGTTTCTCTGGTGGTAAGGATTGTAGTCTGGTTGTCCTTTGCTCTATGTCTAATATCCATATATGAGTGAGTACATACCATTTTTGTCTTTCTGTGTCTGGGTTACCTCACTCAGGATGGTTTCTTCCAGTTCCATCCATTTGCCTGCGAATTTCAAGATTTCATTGTTTTTTTTTTTTTCTGAGTAATACTCCATTGTGTAAATGTACTACATTTTCTCCATCCATTCTTTGGTTGAGGGGCATCTAGGTTGCTTCTAGGTTCTGGCTATTACAAACAACTCTATTATGAACATAGTTGAACATATGTCCTTGCTGTATGAATGTGCATCTTTTGGGTATATGGTTAAGAGTGGAATTGTTGGATCTTGAGGTAGACTGACTTCCATTTCCTGAGCAACCTCCATACTGACTTCCAAAGTGGTCTTACAAGTTTGCACTCCCACCAGCAGTGGAGGAGTGTTCCCCTTTCTCCACACCCTCTCCAGCATAGTCTGTCATTGGTGTTTTTGATTTTGACCATTCTGACAGGAGTAAGATGGTAACTCAGAGTTGTTTTGATTTGCATTTCCCTGATGACTAAGGATATTGAACACTTTCTTAAGTGTCTTTCAGCCATTTTAGATTCCTCTATTGAGAACTGTCTATTTAGTTTTGTACCCCACTTTTTAATTGGATTGTTTGGTGTTTTGGTGACTAGCTTCTTGAGTTCTTTGTATATTTTGGAAATCAACCCTCTGACAGATGTGGGGTTGGTGAAGATCTTTTCCCATTCTGTGGGCTGCTGTTTTGTCTTGTTGACTATGTCCTTTGCCTTACAGAAGCTTCTAAGTTTCAGGAGGTCCCATTTATTAATTGCCAATCTCAGTGTCTGGGTACTGGAGTTATGTTCATGAAGTGATACCAATTTGTTGAAGAGTACCTCCCATTTTCTCTTCTAAGAGGTTCAGTGTGGCTGGATTTATGTTGACGTCTTTGATCCATTTGTACTTAAGTTTTGTGCATGGTGATAGATAAGGATATATCTATAGTCTTCTACATGTCAGCATCTGATTTTTCCAGCACCATTTGTTGAAGATGCTTTCTTTTTTCCATTGTATAACTTTAGCCTCTTTGTCAAAAATCAGGTGAAAAGAACACACATAAGAATAATAGGTATAGAAGAAGGTGAAGAACTCCAGCCCAAAAGTCCAGAAAACATATTCAACAAAATCATAGAAGAAAACTTTTCCAACCTAAAGAAGGTCATGCCTATGAAAGTACAAAAAGCTTACAGAACACCAAGTAGACTGGACCACAAAAAAAATGTTCCCTCACTGCATTATAATCAAAATACCAAACTTACAGAATAAAGAAAAAAATATTAAGAGCAGCAAAGGAAAAAGGCCAAGTAACATATAAAGGCAGGCCTATCAGAATTACACACGACTTCTCAATGGAAACTCTGAAAGCCAAAAGGTCCTGGATAGATGTTCTACAAACTCTAAGGGACCATGGATGCCAACCCAGACTACTATACCCAGCAAAGCTTTCAATCACTATAGATGGAGGAAACAAGATATCCCATGACAAAACCAGGTTTAAGCAATACATATCCACAAATTCAGCCCTATAGAAAGTTCTGGAAGGAAAACTCCAACCCAAGGAAGTTAACTCCACTCACAAAAACGTAGGCAATAGATAATCCCACTTTACCAAAAGAAAAAAGAAAAAAAAAAAAGGCACTGCAGGGGGGAGGGGTATAATACCACCACCACCACCAAATCCAAAGCAAACAAGAATTAAAAATCAATAGTCATTAATATCCCTCAGTATCAATTGTCTTAAGTCACCTATTAAAAGACACAGGCTAACAGAATGGATACAAAGACAGAATCCATCCTTCTGCTGCATACATGAAATGCACCTCGACTTCAAAGACAAATGTCACCTCAGAGTAAAGGGATGGGGAAAGATTTTTCCAATCAAATGGACCCAAGAAACAAGCTGGTGTAGCAATCCTAATATCTAACATATTAGACTTCAAGTTTTTCTTTAGGGGGCTGGCAAAATGGCTCAGCAGCTAAGGTGCTTGCCACCAAGCCTGATGCCCTACACTGTGGCAAGCACATACACAAAGCACCTCCCCTCAGTTAAATAAATACTTGTAGATCCGTCATTTTCTTTAGACAACCTGTCTTATACACAGAAGACAAATTTCACTCATTTAGGGAAGATCAATGTGCTTAAAGCTGTGGCTGTAGTCAGGCACAAGTGTCTCACACCTGTATTCTCACAATTTGGGAGATGGAAGTAGAATCAAGGATTACAAGTCATCCTTGGCTACATAGTGTGTTTGGAGCTAATCTTCGCAACTGGAAATCCTGTCTTAAAAACCAACTGACAACCAACCCACCCACCCACCAACCAACCTACCTACCCACCTACCCACTCCAAACTAAAGCTAAACTTGCCACTGCAGAAAAAATCAGAAGGTATATTCATCATGTTACCAGGAGGCATATTCAGCATGTTAAGTATTTATTCTAGAGAATCAATTCTACACTTTTCTTCT